TTATTTTATTATATATATATATATATATATATATTATTACGTATAGCCTCACGTGTTTTGTAAGTTGTATTGTATATTTTTTAATGTTTAATATATATATATATCATTATATTATTTTTATTATATATATATGTATTATATTTCTCGGTATTATTGTATATTTTATTAAGAGGATCGTTTAGCATCATTAGTTTAGTATATGGAATTAGGGTTAACCTTATCTCCCAGATACGAGGGTTGTGTGTACACGTTATCATGAACAAAAAAAGACAGAATTAAACATAAAACAACTTATTTTATTTTATTCTTTTTTAGTACTGTAATACATTAAGTACAGTAACTTAGGAACAAAATATTTCTACTAAACATGTTTTCCAAATATACTTATAACATTTTCATTCAGATCATAACATGAAATATAAATGCAAACTGACTATTTTATCAAATCCATCATAATTGTTTTTTTCTGGAATGTTCTTGGAATTTTACTGTAGATGGAATATTATGTGAATCTAACAAAAACACACTCTTCAATCAAGTAAATTGTATGTTGTAAAGTACAAAACTACACAATGGACTATCTGTGCTCTGCCCACCATGGGTATCAAAACCCGTAAATTTCAAGTAGCATTTTAAAGGCAGTTTTTGAATAACAAATAGTAAAAGTAATGTATGAGATACACACGTTTCACAAGGTCTTTCTAGCAGTATACTTTTCATAAGTGCAAGCTTTTCTTTCCCGATACAAAATTCACATCCCCAGGTAGTTCCAGCTGAATTTTTTCTTCAGTCCTTTACCTGTTTTATCAATAACACTTTCCTGCCCTCATCCCAACTATTTTTCTCTATTTAAAAAGATTACTATTATGGAGCAGCTATTTCACTATTAGACAACATGCTTCAAAAATGGACAACAACCAAAACTTTTGGGTATTCGTATCTAGTTGATTAATTACTTGCTGATAAGGATATTTACAAAACATTATTAGGAATTTTGATTTTCACTTCACGTCTACCACTAGAACATGAATTTTGGTAGCCCACCATTCAAACTTCAATACCAACCCCCTACCTTCAATTTTATGAATTATTTTAGACTGATCTCAAAAATGATCCAAATTGATTAAGAAAAAAAAAATGGAAATTTGCAAAAAATTCTCAAATTAAGATTCCAAAAACCATGACAACTATAAAATATGGTAATTAAATTTGGAACTACAATTTTAACTTTTTTTATCTTTGTTATATTATTAGCAATTACAATTAACTGCCGTACTGATAAGATATAAGCACATTTCTAGAGAATGTCCAGAAACCGTAGTGCTAGTAAAGTACGAGCAAATTTCTATCAAATATCCAGAAACTCCAGTATTAATAAGATATAAGCAAATTTTTTAGAGAACGTCCAGAAGCTATAGTACTGGTAAGAAAGAAGCTATATTTATGATAACAGTTATAATAATGAAGTTCAATACAGTTCAAATGCAAGTTTCACAAAGTTTTGTGACCTTTAATATATGAATTAAATTTTGTAGTTTTTGATATCGATATACAGAAATTTTCATAAATCTTTCTCTCTTTGCTAGCTTCAAAACAAAGGTCACTGGTATAGTGTGCTATTGAATCTTAATGAACTTTCATCAAATATAACAGACTGGTTCATGTACGAACTTCCACTTCAATAAACTTTCATCAAATATAACAGACTGGTTCAAGTACGAACTTCCACTTCAATAAACTTTCATCAAATATAACAGACTGGTTCATGTACGAACTTCCACTTCAATAAACTTTCATCAAATATAACAGACTGGTTCATGTACGAACTTCCACTTCAATAAACTTTCATCAAATATAACAGACTGGTTCATGTACAAACTTCCACTTCAATAAACTTTCATCAAATATAACAGACTGGTTCATGTACGAACTTCTAACAATTCCAATAAAGTTGCATTCAATCCATTGCATATTTGTTTATAGAAAAAAGTTGTTAACCACTTATGTCATGACCAAAACTAAAATCTAATAATCAATTATTTCTATACATTAAAGGTTTTATTGAAACAGCTAACAACACTATTTATTACATCATACTTTTCATAGTGTAGAATTATGTCGTAGAAGTACAAGGTAAAAAAATATACAAACTTAATATTGGAAATCAGACGCACAACATTTGGCGTTAAATATTAACTAATTTCTTCTTCATAGTAATGCATATCTATTCTTTATAAATCTTGTACTCACATCTGTATTTCTACAAAACAAATGAAAGACAGCTCTGAGGAAAATTACAAATATATCTTAAATAGTTATCCTCAGTAGTAAAAAATTACTCTCTAATCAACAAAAAAGCACAATAAAATATTTGAAATCTAACCTAATGCTGTGGAGACTAAACTTACAGTACTAGTTTCAATTTTATTTACACGTGCATGGATGTGTTTAGGCTTTTGATTGTCTATTGTATATAAAACAAAGTTCCTTATTTTTACAGTTTAAGCTACTTAAGAGAAAATTATAAACTTTACGTAGAAAAACTTAATCAACATTTTTGGGTCATTTTCTATTTACGTATAGGATTACAAATTCTGATTTAACTCTACTTACAAGTCCTTGTTTACAGTGCCCTCTATCTCCACTGATAGCATCGTAGACTTATTTCATAAATTCAACATGTTACATTATACAATGCTAAATATTAACACCATAAATCAAAGATTTACAAAAAAATTTCAAATCACTTAAATATTGTCCATTTTCTCAAGCTGCAACCAAACAAAATCCTTTAAAGAACATGTTATGATCTGCTAGCCCTATGGTTCAAAGAAGTAATTTTGCAAGTCACAAAATTTGTGTCTAAGATACAAATAGTAACTTACTGTATTCAAGAATCAGACAGGAATATATAAGATTAATTCTTATGTTTTTTAGTTTCTCACAAACTTAAGAATGTGATTTCACATCCTGTTGAAAATTTGCAATTTTCTTGCCTGAACTACTAAATCCAGCTGTGAAATAGTATGAAAACTTGTTAGAAAAAAATAACCCTCACAAAGTAGATGAGGTAATGAATTTTTAAAAGATATCCATGAATATCTATGTGAACAAAAAAAAACCTGTAGTTAGATAGGAAATATGTTAAAAAAGTTTTTAAAAAGTTACAGTTAGTTCTTGAAAAACATATTAGGTTTCTATACATGTATATTGTGAATAATTATTTTAAATTAAGCTAATTAAGCTTTATTAGAATTTATTATCAAAACAGGAAAAATACTTTATCCGATAAGAAAAAGAATCCACTAGAAAACTGTAAATAATATTGCAGAAAATCGTAAACGTAGTAACTCTTAACCAATTTTAACATTTTCCTTCTGTTAACTTGAATGCTAAATTTTTTCCATTTATGATTAGCTCAAAGGTACAATGTTCACTTGGAATCACCACTGCCACCTAGTGTCAGATGTTCTGCTACCATCCTTGAGTTCTTCTGTCATAACTTGTGAATGTTGAAGACCCGTTGGACTGAGCAGGCAACTAGAGATAGAGCTGCTGTTGCTAGAGAAGCTCTCTGCTGTCGAGAAGGAGCCATGTCGGTTGAGGTAGGATGTAGCAGGTTGTTCATTTATTCTTGGCTGCTTACAGATGGCACTATCTGATTTTGATCTGTGCAGGTACTTACGAACCAACGTTTTAGGATATTGTTTACCTATGTGAGGTAAAGCTGATCGAGACTTTCTCAAATGGGCGTCTACATCTATTACATCATCAAAGGTACGAACACCAACAGCCTTGAGTATTATATCCATCTTATTAGAGTAGTCTAAGTGACCCGATACCTTAAAAACAATTAACACCTATGATTGTAAGTAATTTCCTTCCATCTTCCTCCAATGTAGTGCATTATAAATCAATCTTTGTGTTTGATTGTGTTTTATATTAAGCACAAAGCTGCGCAATGGGCTAACTGTACCGTGTCCACTGCAAGCAACCAATCTTTTAACATTATAAGCCTTCAGAGGGCTTTTTTGTACATCCGGAAATATTTTCTTTTGAACCAAGATTGCACGGAATAGATTTCTTGGAATTCCTAAAACCTGAACAGTACCAGTGAACATAACAATAAGTAAAATGAAGTTTCTTTATAACGTGGAGAACCACCTAGCTAAACACAATTCCTGAGGTGAGGTGTATTTAAAATATGATGTACATTTTTTAAGAAGCTTATTGTACACAAAAAACAAAACTATTATTCTGCGGTGAAAGAATTATACGCAAGCAGTATCAAATGTGAAAATGATAAACACAAACAAAGATCAATTTAAATAGTTTCATGTTTCTTGATATTAAGGAAAGTTTGTTTGTTTGTAATTAAGCACAAAGCTATCTGTGATCTGCCCTCCACGGGTATCGAAACCCGGTTTCTAGCATTGTAAGTCCGCAGACATACCGCTGTGCCACTGGTGGGCCTCTTGGTCACTTTTTTTTTGTTGTTGTTTGAACTTAAGCACAAAGCTACACAATGAGCTATCTGTGCTCTGCCCACCACGGGTAGGTTGTAAGTCCGCAGACATACCGCTGTGCCACCAGGGGGCATTAAGGAAAGTTAATTACGATCTTGCAGCTGTGTAGTTGTATCTGAAGTTCTTTTCTACAGTGGCCTGAGCAAAGGCCTTCCAAACCAAACACATTTACAGAAAAACTCTATCATTACACTGTAATATGTGTAGGAGTTCTATCGACACAACATACTCTGCAACTGAAGATAGCACAAACTTTTTTTTTTCACCTGCCTTAAAACTGAGAGTTGATTACTTTCATTCTGACCAGTCTAATTTTAAAATAATGAATTTTATACTTGACAAAAGAATTCAGTTCAAACAAATGTTTAGTACTTAAATACTTAACAATGTCAATACGTGGGTTTTATTAAGTAGAAAAATGAAAAGTTTTATGAAGTATTTTGTGATACAAGGGAGGGAAGCAACTCGGGGATGGGTGAGACAAGTTTTTCCCTTATTACGATTGATAGTTTATTAGGCTAAGTTTATCATTTATTTAATGTTATGTTTGGTCATCTTGTCTCATTGTGTGTAAGAGTTAACATTAGTTCAGCATTTGTACGCATACATGTGTCAATTTTTTACACTGTCACCTAGCAACAAGTGGGGTTTAGCGGTTCCATACCAGCAGAGGCCAAAGGTTCTTTTTATTAACATATTCTCAGCATTTTCTAACGTACAAAGTGCATTACGTAAATAAGAATGTCAAGTCTGACCAATCACAAAAGTAGAAGGGAAAAGCTCAGATTCAGTATGACATCATCCTTTGTTCAGCTGGAAATAGAGACTGGGGAAGAAAACTAATGTGAACAAGTGTTATCCAATCATCTTTCATTATTTGTTGGATGTCCCTTAATGAGTATGAATTATGCAAAACTGACATTTTTTTTGTCCCAAGAAATGAAGAAAGTAGACTAGCATGACAGTAGAAATTAGTAGTTACAAGAAGATTTCTCAGAAAATCTATTGGCCCGTTACCTTTGACAAAATTTCAGAAATCATTTTTGGATCCTTTTTATAAATAAAATACATATCACCTTCTCTTAATAAAACCCATGTCTAAGCGTAATAAACAATGACAAAAATTGTTTCAAATGATCAATTAATCTTATGCTGCTTATGCTAGATTTTCAACATTGTTCTCAGAACCTTTAAATGTCATTAGCAAATACACAAACAAGAAGGTTTATCTAAAATCATTATTTGACTCTACACTATTTATGTTTAACTTACCACACTGCTCAAATCAACATTACACATTCGCCTGTCATTCCACCTCACTGGTTGAAGTCCTGCTATTTTAAGTGTTGCCGAAGATGTACGGTAAAGAAATTTCAACAGCCAGTCGCCACTAAAAATACAGAGTTAGGACAAGTTCTAAATGTATTATCAAACTATGCACAGACAGCACTTGGACATAAACACAGAAATATCCTATGGAAATGGCCAAATAACGTGTGTGGTTCAACCTTTAGCTTTTAGAGTTGTGTCAGTTCTTTATAGTAGGGCATCTGGAAGTTTCTTAAAGGTAGGTTAAGGAATAACCTTAAAACACAACTTGCATTAAAAGTCAGAGATCTTGTTCACTCGTGACTATCTTCCAACTAACGTTACATTTACCTGATCAGATTATCGCCATGCTGTAATAACCTTTGATACTGTTCCTCTTACATTATCACCATGCTGTAATAACCTTTGATACTGTTCCTCTTACATTATCACCATGC